TGGTGAATAATTGCTTCCTAATATCTAATCTAAATCTGCCCCCATTTAGTTTGCAGCCATTCCCCCTTGTCCTATCACTACACACCCTTGTGAAAAGCCCCTCTCCATCCTTCCTGCAGGCACCTTCAGGTCCTGGAAGGCTGCTCGAAGGTCACTGTCGCTGATGGATGGGGAAGGGGTCCTTGGCACCAGCACGAAGCGATGCACGAGCAGGGACAGGCTCTGTGCACCACAGCGAGGTGCTGTGCCAGTGCTGGCGTACCTACAGAGCACGCACAGTGCACACAGTGCGAGCTGTTCCGGCTGCTGCCCATCCCTGCTGCAGCCACATTGCTGGCAGCAGCCAGTGTTGGCTTCCTCCATCCTTCCCTCAGGTGTTACCGTCTCCTCAGTCATCCCACCGAAGCGTTTGGGTGCTGCCTGGTTCCCTTGGATAAAATGATGTGAGTTAAAGGGGAAAAATTGAAATCTGAAGCAGCACTGACTACAACTGCAGGCGGATCTCTAGTCTGGAACCTCCAAGCTGTGCAGCTCTCCTGTTTTCATTACCAGCCTGCTGTGCCGCGTGCTCACATCTAACACCATCCTTACTCCGCACCATAAAGCTACCCACTGCGCATCCCCGTCCTTTCGAGCTGCCCAGACACAGTAAGGCCACCGGTGCTACACCAGCTCCACGCAGGTGCCGTGCCGACCCCGCAGCCATCGGCAGGGCAGAGCCTCACAGCAGCACTGCAGCCCGTCGGGTGGCAAAGGGACCACCCCAGCCCCAACGGGATGGAAATGCGGCTGTAACTGATAGGTGTTGCCCAGGCCAGGGCGTGCAAGACAGCTTTTCCCAGCACAAAGGCTTCCTCCCAACACCACGCTGACATGCCTGGCGGATTGAGAATATCCTATTTATTAAAGACACTGAAGATGTGGCAACATGGGAAGCAGACACCATTCAAAGGACTGTCACATCTGCATAGCTAAAGGATCCCAGCAGTTATAAATCCCTCTAAAATACTCAGCCCCTTGTTCTGATAGCAGGTTCTTGCTCCTACTTTGCAGAAACAGGCTTTTAATCCCCGGTATTAGGCAGCTTCCTGCTATGTTTCAAATACACCAAATTAAGGGCTTCTCTAACAGCTGGTGTCTTAATGCTCAGAGAGGTTCTTGAATATCTATGAAAATCAGAGGCAAATTACATCTTTTAGTTAATAATTTCTTCTCCATTAACCTCCATCTCTTCCCTTGTTAGGAGATGATGTAATGGTGCTCCTGCGGCGTAACCCTCCGACACAAGGGCAGCCTGGCCGCGGGCAAGGACGCTGCACGCGGGGAAGCGAGCCCTGCTCATCGCTGCCCGAGCCACGCTCTGATGGGAAAGGGCGGCCCTGCCCACCTTCCAGGCTGCCGGCCGCGC